CTCCAGGAGGCGGGAGAGCGGCGTTGACGGCTGGGAGCGGGCGGCGCAGGTGCCGGCTTGCTGCAACATGGCCGACGGGGCTTTGCGGGTCCGTTGTGGACCTGGCCGGGCCAGGGGTGGCCCGGTGTGCCCTGCTGCCACGTCCGGTCGGCGACCACGACGTCGCCGGGGGCTCGGGCCTCCCGCACGTCAGCGGGGGAGGTGGTTCCCTCCCGCTTGGCTTCGGTGTGGTTCCTCCCGTCGCTTGGCGCTTCTTTCCGGCCTCCTTGGCCTCGTGGTGGTGTTCGTAGCGGGGCGGCGTGGATGTGTCCAAGACCGTGGTGGCGCGTGCTTGCGGGTGGCTTGATGGTTGGATGACCCTGGTTCGAGTGGGTAGCGGTGCTTGGGGATGTGGGAGAAATCTTTGCCGGTTCTTCCGACTCCGACGCGGTGACACCTGAGGGTGCCATCATTCCTTCTTGAAGGGCGTCGGCGCTACCCATCACCCGCTCCCCTCCGTATGCCGGGGGAAACCCTAGGACTCGTCCGGGCAGCAGCGTCGTTGGCGTCGCATTCCTTCTTGGAGGTGCTGCTTGGTATGCGGCGGGCCGGTGCCATGGCGTGTGGTGGGACGAAGGTGGAGGGCGCAGCGGTGGCGGATCATTTGTGCTTGCCGAGCTGCCGTTGTTGGCTTTTATTTCTTCTTTTTTCTTTTTGGGCTTGTTGTGCCGTTCGCCCCGGCAGTTACCCTGTGATCGTGTGTCTGGTGCTTTATAATATAAAGCGGGGGGAAACCCTTTTTCGGTAATTCATTTGCACCGTCGTGTGGACTTCGACAAGGTGAACCCGTGTCCCTGATTTATTTTTGTTTTTGTTGCCGAGGAGCTCTATGCGCTGCTTCAACAAGGAGTGGAGACACATGATGTTCAACATGTAAAAATATGTAGTGAAGACTCTGCTCTCATTCCATCCTCGGGGCACCGGGGCTCTGGTGGATCGGGCAGACCTCCCAAGAAGACGGTGGGCAGGAAACCTGCGACTAAGGCGGGTGCGGTGATGGCGGCAGAGCCGAACCGGAGTGATCTGGGCGCGACGCTGGCGTCAGTGGGTGCGGGTGCTAAGGCCAAGCGCTCCAAGGCGACTCTCGTGGCACTACGAGCCCCCAGCGTGCGTGCCAAGGCCAAGCTGGGCGAGCTGTCTTCTCTGGAGAGCGTCAAGCTTCGTACCGCAGACAAGAACCTGGAGGTCTCAGACCTGAACACAATTGAAGAAACCGCGTGATGAGGAGCGCATGACCGAGACGATGGAGCGGATCCGGAACACTCAGGTGGAAGTTCGACAAGTGGTGGCTCAAGACTGATCTCATTTTGAATCTCGTTTCATTGCCTAATGCTTGCCGATGACTTGCTTCCAGCCTGCGTGCTGATGATGGTGGACCTTTGTTTATTTTGGCTGGTACTGTAATGCTTATGCCGATTGCCGTCCTGGATGTCTTCAGACTCTGTGTACGCCGATTGCCGTCCTGGATGTCTTCAGACTCTGTGTACACTGCCTTGCTGACTTTGACATCTTCGTTTAAAAAAATTGTAGTGAGGCGTCAGGAGTATCACAACTACTATTTGTTGATGACAATATCCTTTTTTCAGAGCTAATTTAGCCTAGGCATATTATGTTAAGGGTGTCATTCATTGATATAGAAGAGCAATAGGCCAGCTAATAAACCCACAAAAATGTTATATACAGTTTCGGTACAACTGCCTTATGGAGACATAGATTGTGGTTAACAGGGAGTTGCAAGTTCAAAATTCTGAATTTGAAACGGAATTAGCTTGGTTTACCAACCCTGGATGATCGTATGAACAAAGGGAAGTTCCAGATGTTGCAGGCAACCCTAACTAATTGCTCGGCGGCTCGTCCGCGAGGCTGTGAAGGAGGCTTATAAATGAATTGTTGAATTATATTTTGGGTTGTGTTGAATTGTTAAACCGTGCTTTAATTTTGGTTGTGCTGAATCATTGAATTGGTGATGATTTGGACATTTGATTTTGTATGCTATATAATCTAGCGTGCATGAGTTTGCATGAAAATGAGAGTTTGAATATGAAGGGTGTGGTTGTTCGGGCGAACAATGAGAAGCAGGTCGACGCTGTCGACACGTCCGCGGACATTTAGGGAGCCGGATTTGCCCACTCCGATTATAGACGCTCTACAAACATTTTTTATTCCGAGTTCAGCTGTCGCAAGATTGCTCCCATCGCACGACCATTTCTTGTCACACGATCCACGCCAGCACTTAAGTAAGCCTCAGTGGCACTGCGACGACCTAGCTAGCTCGTCCATGTTCTTGCAGCCTCCGACATTGACCGAGTATGAGTTGAGCTCCTGTCTCAGCATGGCCCAGCGATAAAAATAGTGGGAAAGTAAGCAAGATCGGCCATCTTTTCCAAGCGCAGAGGCAAAGTTGTGCACGAGGAGGGCGTGCGGCATCGACCAACTGCAGCGCAGCGGCGCCGGCGCATCTTCTCTCCCCACGCCGTCCCGGAGTCCTCCGTCCGTGGCAGGTTGATCCCTTCTTCCTCCCTCCAGTCCTAGGCCCTAGCTCGACGGCGGGTTGGTTAGTAGGGGAGTGGGAGGAAGTGGTGGGTGAGGAGCGAGGAGGAGAGCTCGACGGCGTGTCCTCTCTGAGATGGCACACCCTCGCCGACGCCGGTGAGGTAGGGCCGGCCGATGGGGGGAGGCGCCGGTCGAGCGAGAGAGCTGGGACGCTGCTTGCTGCTCTGCTCTGCTCTGCTTCTTGTTCTGGTTGCTGCCGCTGCTTGTTGCTCTGCTTCTTATTCTGGTTGCTGCTGCTTGCTGCTCTGCTTCTTATCCTATCCTAGTTTTGCAATCTGTACTGAGATTATTGTTGTGTATGTTGTGTTGTACCGTATAGCCATTAGAAATATTTTGGTAGAGCAGTCCCTCAAGTGATTTGACAGAAGAAAAAACTTGATAGAAAATGAAAATTGTGAAGATCA